ATTTATATATAACAATATATAATATAATGTATTGCGTCTTACCCTAGTTTTACTTCTTACACATCAGGATTCGCGGAATTTTATGAACGATATGGCACTGTGTCGATTTTCAGCGCTGTGCCGATTTTTAGTGCCTCGCTGAGGTGGTTTCTTCTGCGAGATTCTCCCAACAGACGAGCGACAACACAAGAATATTTGTGTGCAGCGCTCCACCCCGCTTTCCCAGCCGGTACAAAGGAAGCGTGAACTATTCAAAATACGAAGCAACATTATTGTTAAAATAATTAGTTTTTCGTGTTTTCTGGGTGTGATATTACCCCTTATTGCTGAGAAACGCTTATAATTGTTATTATTTCGGTGGTGCGTTTGTCATATGGAAATGAAAATCATGTTTAAATGGTGGGGCACGACAGTTATACTGTTATATATTCCCAGGGTCTACAAATCTGCAGTAAGGCGTATTCGCACATAATAATAGCAACTCTATTTATTAAATATCTTAATGGTATTCCTGCGTTTTCGAAGTTTGGAGCGTGTGGAATTATTTTTATTATTACTACTACAAGATGTTGTGTGTCGCTGCTAAATGTTTTTCATGTTCTTACAAATTTAAAGAATACGAATTCAGGGACTGTTTTTCAGAAGAATTCGCCGCTGTCACGTTGGTGTTTCAGTAGCAGGCTCAAATCCTAACTCGCTTAAATAACACCGAAAAAGTTTAAAGGCTTTACTCCACCCAAGTCAGACAATGTGCAATATGAATAGCGATGGTTCTTCTCAATAAACATCCCTTTTTAATAATCGTTATCAAAACCACATGCTTGAGTACACGCGCATATACACACGTCTAGATCTAGATATCAGGAGAGTATAGATATTCCAGCATGCATATGTCGTACCGAATTGTCTTAAGACTGTAATTCGTGTGATACTTTTATTTGTAAAATCGAACAGCCCATCACAAACCACAGCGCTGGTCTGATCTCTCGGGTATCGATCTGGAAGGTGGAGCTTTGATTTTTGTTTTTATTTATAGTCAGAAATATTAAGGGGAACTTCTGGGAAATAGATTTGGTGGGGAGGGGAGATAAAACACGGGCCATGTGATATTTTTTTAAATTAAAGCAAGTAGCATTTTTGTGTCATATGACGTCGGCGATACGAAATAATTCAACATGATGTCTTATGTTCTAAGAAACCCCGGTCCGATGAAGACGCAACGTCTCGGCGCCTGTCGTGTTTTCATGTTTCACCATGAAAATCGCAACCTGGCCGCAGTCGGCACCCACGAAGAGCTACACTTGGGTTTCTGTCAAAACCGATTTAAGGCAAGTCGTCCCGGGCCTGCGATTATTTTACAGTTGCAGTTTTAGCCGGGATTGTAGGTTTGTCGTGTCTTTGCCTTGTGGATTTGAGCGAAAACTTGCAGTTTAGAGCGGCGGAGAGAATCACCTCTGACCTTTGACTCCAGTCTGCATGGCAAAGGTCACCACATTTGGACTTCAGCTACAACTTCAACCACAATCCTCAGCATAATGTATATAGTATGGATCTTTTTCAGCCATATATATTTTCCGGAGAAGGAATCAAAGTACTGCAAATCCACGTTGGCCATATCTAACACGCCACTCAACCTGTTACTAATAGTTAACATATGAGGATTTTCCTTCTTCTCCAGAAATGCAGTTTTATTTTAAGGCTGCTGTGTCATGACACTGAGAAAAGAGTTAAATGTAACTTCGCTGAACACTCACAGTCTTAGCACAAATTGAGTAGAAGATCAATCCCTGTGTTTCATGGTTTTTTTTTTGGAGGGGGGGGCGGACGGGTGTTTTTTTCTTCAGATGTGACGGCGGGTTAGACCACAGCGCGAAATATCTTTATTAATTTGGCGTATCCCTCTCTCCTCAGCCTTCTGAAACATCACGGCCAACAATGGCAGGAGGCGCGAGGGAGAGAGTGGTGCCTGAGCACGAGCACCAGTCTCCTCCGCAGTCTCGTGCGGGTTTACTTTTTTTTTTTTAAATAAAAGTACCCGGATAAGACATTTCAAAATAAAGAAATTCGATTTCAACTTTTGTTGTTGCTGTTTTTTTTAAAAGAGAAAACGCGAAAAACACTCCGAGCAACAGAGTCGCCGCTGTTAAGAAAGCGGGGCGTTTCTCCGTCAAGACTGTAGGTTAAAAATTCCACTTGGTTGTTTTGGTTTAATAAAACATGTCATAATCAGAATTTCCCTGTACCTTCTCTGTCATACAGCACTGAATAGTTATTTATGACATTTCTGCTGCAGAAATCCGTGAAGGCAGCTTTTTGATAGCCTGTTTAAACGGTTATAAAACACCCGAGCATAATCTAAACCATATAATTTTACACGTTTACCTTCCCTTCTCGCTTAGGGGAAATTTGCGTCCTGTAGTCGCACAGTGTAGTAATTCTTTAGAGAGAGACTGTGGCTCTCGAAACAGGCAGGAATTTCCTACTGCGCTACAAACAGCCCTGCTCTGTGGCTTTGTGTATGTCTGTACGTGTGGGGGGAAGAGTTTATGAAGAAAGGTTGTTTTTTCGAGAGCGCAGAACACCCTCGTCTATAAAACGCTCTTTCCTCGACGGTGGAAAAAATATGATCTGTGCGAGTGTGCCTATAAAGGACAATCTCTTGTTAATCTGACCCCCTCTACCTCTCACTTGTATTATTTTTTCTTGTCTGTAAAATTCGTTTTTAGATACTTGTCCTAGGAGAGAGAGAAAATCTCCCCAGACAAGCTCAGAGGATTAGACCGAAACGAAAATATACAGAATTATGTGTCCATTATATGCCTATTAGAACATTACAGACTTGCAAACGGTAATATAGGTTCAGAGAAATGACCGTGAACATCGTGTAATAATTCAAATAAAAAATTGTTAATTTACATAATTAATTCACTATAATGTTTTTCATATTTACTAATGCGTAAGCAAGTCTTGACTGCTCTAGACAGTATCAGTTGTGCAACGCTGATAATATCTTAAGGTAGTTCTCTTTTTCTTAACGAAAAGTCTGGAATTGTTAAGTGTTTGGGCACAAACTAAGAATAACTACAGTATACCTCGGTGAATGGGGAAAACGCAGTATCCTTTAACAGACCAATGGCACCAAATCATAAAATATTACAATACAGGCCTCTTAAAGACGAAAGGAAGAGCGTCGTAACTTCCATTATTTTTACAAATTACACTCGTTCGCATCACTGGTTATATCTTGCTAACTCGGAAAGCGAAACGACGCGGAGAAAACTCTTGGGCGGCGTCGCCCTTAAGGAATGGAAATCTTTAACAAGACTAGCCTTTTCACACACTGGAAAAAAAAAAAACAACAAATCAGAGGGTTTAATGTTCTGCTTTTCTGCGCCGCGGCGATGAGCGCTGAGCAGGATGGGCTCTTTAAGTAAAATGGTCGCTATCGCGTGAAAGCGGGGCCGTGCCGGCGGACGCCCGGGTATCGCTGTAACGTGCCAGATCTTTCAGGTTAGGTGGCGAATCCTTCAAAGAGATTTAAAAGAACATTCCCAAACCCACCCCAGCTCACCTGCTCCGCCGTGTCGTTGCATGGAGAGTTTGGTCCTGTACCGCACAATACGTGTTTATGTTTATATTCACCATTTCTACTGCGTTTGATGAAAGTTTTGTGTCTAAGAAGAAGGCAGATCTTGAAGCAGTGCCGTTTATGGTGTGCTCCACAGGCAGTATATCAAGCCTATAAAATCAAAGCTGCCGTTTTTATTATAGTATTTAACTACCCCCCAAAAAAGTTTAAAGTAGTTTGTTCCGTAAGTACAGAGTGGTTCTACGCGGGAGCGTTTAACGCGCTCGTAAAGAAAAAAAATGACAGTTAATTTTCTAATAAACTGCTTTTTATATGAAGAAAAACACCGTCGAGCGAATAATAACAAACCAGCTACAGTGCAGACGTATGGGGAATGAAGACCCCCCAATTATAGAAAAAAACATTGCTAGAGATGGAGAACAAAATAATGGCTTTTTTTTTTTAGAGAAAATTGGAATAATATCTGTGGTTGAACGTCGTGACGGATTTGAAAGCTGTTTTGGAGCTCACCGAGTTAGCCAATAAAATACAAGGCACATTAGTAACGTGCTCATCAGCCTGAAACTAATTTAAGTCTGTATTTTTCAGATCTCCGCTTATTGCTGGGCATGTACAGAAATACGTGCGCGCTGTGTTTATGATCTTTATGCAGCGCAATTCGGTTATTTTGCCGTTTCAGATCGCCATGGTTACACGGCCCGTGCGCTGCTTTGCATATTGCATAAACATCGCAAATTATGTAAAAAAAATATAGATAGCGCGAGAAGAGGACAGCGCCGTGCTGCCCCTCGGCGGATTGATTTACGCCTCATTGACGCTTTATCAGGAACACGAAAAAAGTCTGACCAATCATTTCGCTTCGAGCTCGCTGCACAGTGAAGCAGCTGCACTTTGTTGGCGAGGAAGTTGGGGAAAAGCGTAGTGTACAAATCGAGATCTGTCCTCTGTATTTTTTCCCTTCAATGAACCGTGCTTTGTATAATGTCTGAGAATGTCCATTTCTGGAGCTCTTAGCAGTTACTATGTCGATTCCATTATAAGTCACGAGAGCGAGGATCCGACTTCAGTCAAGTTCTCCAATGTACAGTATCCAAGTCCCAGGCAGCCGGGAGGACACGCTGAGCATCCAGAATTTCCTTCCTGTAGTTTCCAGCCTAAACCTCCCGTTTTCAGCGCGACTTGGAGTCCGTTTAATCCCCACTCTTCCAATGGTTTACCGGCTGTCTACCACTCGTACATCCCGGCGCAAGCGATCCCTTCCCCGGACAATAGATACCTTCGCACTTGGCTGGACAGTGCCCCGAGAACTGAGCCCCTGGCCGGACAGGGACACGTGAAGCTGGAGCCGCTGTTGGGACACCTCGGGGAGCCCCCCAAGCTCGGAGGACAGGACTACAGTTTGGAGTGCCCCTCTGCAAGGGACATTAATTCCAATCAAGGCTCCGGCTTCGAGGACAATAAGGATATTTGTGAAGGTAGCGAAGACAAAGAGGGACCAGATCAAAGTAAGTAGTAAACCGAGGAAGTAAACAGTCTGTAAAGCGTTTAAAAGCTGCCATAAAACTAGAACAAAGCGGGGCAGACCACAGTAACACACGCAGCCCGAATGTGCTTCAAGTGAATTTTTGCTGTATTGCATTTTCTCTGCATTGCTTCTTGAGCGCCTGTACAAGTGCATTATTAATGCCGACTCACAGCCGTCTCCATTTTTCAGCGACCGAAGTTGTGGGCTGAACTCGCCTTCAGATTGTGTCCACCGGCTACCAGCTCACGTACGGACACGCTGTGTTGTGAATTTCTACCGCACGTGCTCTGTGCCCCTGTCTCGTTCCCCCAAGTCCCCCTTATCGTGTGTCGCTGCTTCAGAAATCATCTTCGCCACCGCGATCACAACACTTAAGACAGAGCTCACACTGTACTGATGACGGACATGGCGTTGCACGGGCGGAAGAAAACCCCCCAAAACATCTTTCTGCTTTTCCTAAAGCTGCTGATGTATTTATTAAGAGCAACAGACGGACGCACACCCCCGTCAAGTGAAAAATGCAGAAATACGCGGTAAAATAATAACAATGCGTTAAGCGTTATAAGGAAAGCCCGGCGTGTCAGGGAGAAGACGAATTTCCTGGAGCGCGTCCAGGAGTGATGCGTGTGTAAATATTTGTGATGGAAAACGGGCATTTTTTTTTTGTTTGATCGTACGAGCTGACATGCAGCGCGCTTAATAAGAACCCTGGAAAGGAAGTTGACAACAGTTCAGCCAAAATGTGGGATGCGTTAGCATTTTTTTATTTCCCTTGCACAATTCTTTGGAAGACGTTTTCCCGTGCACTGACGGCAAAGATTTTGAAAATCCCGTCTTTCTGTATTTTTGACCGAAGGGCTAAATGTTACTCAGAGGGAACGAGAGTGACACCCCCCTCCCGCCCTAACCCACCCAAGACACACACAGTCTCTGCCTTGCTCCTCATTCATGTATGGCGTTTCTGTAGGACAGGTCACTTAGCAGGGGAGAAAAACAAAATCGAGATTTGTGAACAGCAGCGCTTTGTGCTGCGGGCTGAGAGGCTGTGCTCGGTTTATCAGGGCCTCGCTCTGCTCGGGGAAGACAGTGATTTCTGCGCGATGGCGAAGCAAGAAACGTTTGGAGAGACTTACGTGGGTCCTTTAAAAAAAAAAATGTGTACGCGCACAAAAGAACATAAATTGCATCATTCCGGTAAAAGCCGAACCCCTGCGTGCATGCTCAGTGCAGCGAGAGACAGGGTGATCTGAAAGGCCTGTTACTTTCGGTTTGGCTTGAATAATTAAAGACGATAGTGAGGCCGAAATCAGCGTCGATTTTAATTCGTCAGAGTTGCCTCTGTAACACAACATGAAAATCTTCATGGTCACAGTGCAACAGAAATCCCCATTGTGTCGCGCTGGGCGAGCCTTCAGAGCAAGCCGCAGAGCGAGAGCAATGAAGCTGAGGAATTCTCATTCCTCTCAGCGCCTGCAGTGACTTATAAGTGAAAAACCTCTTTGGCCCGAAGGTTTATTACGTTATAAGAGGAACAGACATTCCCATTAAACCGCGCGATGTGGGCTCCATGGGACTGAGCCTGCTCCTAATGCTCAAAGGGAAGATGTAATATAAAGGGATCTCAGGCTGGAGAGAGGTGATATATGAGGCCTTGATCTGGAAAGGGCTGTTGCTGAGCGAGACATTTCCACGGGGGAAGTGTGGCGTGTCTGTGTCAGCACAGACATCATAAGAGTGCAATCACTACGTCCCTGTGTCTTTGTTCCTCAGCTGTTTAAACTAAGGACGTTTTCCTGGTTGCTGAAGGTACCAGCAGCATGGTATTTCAGTGTTTCAAAAAGCAGGACAAGACGTGCAAGAAAATGCACGAAACTATCCATCTTTCCCCCTACAACGCCTGTTAACAATCATATTACACACGCAGGAATATTGGTCTATTTGTAATTTAACATTTTAAGCCATAAACTTCAGCATATTTAAGACACGTAATGCAATCTGACCACACACGAAAGGGCTAATGGATATATTTATAGATGTGGCCCGTGCACTGATGGACAGGAGGGAGCTGTGATGAGTGCTGTACCATCCAGTTTGTTCCCTGATTGATTACATAGCCTGGCTGAACAAATACGTTTCAGATATTGAATTTTATAGGTGGGCTTCCTCTTCCAAACGTACCCCAACATTCCCCCCGTGTTACGTTGTAGATAAAGGCCGGTATCCCCGTAGAACTCTTTGGTGTCTCTGGACAGTCGGAACACCGCAGGAAGTGAGATCGAATGATCTGTGAGAAAAACACGACCGAGGCGCCTTTAGCATTTATCAACAGTTTCACCCTCCTAATTACTTAATACGACGCGAAAGTAATTTTATTCTCAACTTGTGAAGAAAACAATGTCTAGCTGAACCAGAGGATGTCTAATTATAAACGCTATTCAACCCCCCCAAGCATATTAATTCGAAGTAGTATTTACAGAGCGGGTAACGGAGGAGAGAAACTACAATGTTAAATTCAATCTGACTGCATTCCTGTCAACGGCATGACGAGAGCAGGGCCGTCTACTGGGACAGAGTGCTCATTCAAATCTGCAGCATATTTTCCAAAAAAGGAGACAATTGTCTGTATAGAGCAACTAAATATTCCGGGAGGGACTATTCCGCTGTGGTTTCTGAAGAGGATTGTGCAACCCACTCGCTGCTGTGCAGTTTAGCATTTAAGGGAAAAAAAGGGCAAGATTATTCTACACGATCTGCCTTTTCTCTTGAAAACATTTTTGGTCTCCTCTGAAAAAGAAAGAGAGTTTCGGAAACTCCAATACCTGTCCGGGACAGTCCAGATGAGCAAAAACTCTGTTCGGTGTTCCTGGTGTATTGCCGCGGTGATACTTTAGTATATGAAAGGATAATCAAATATTAGATTATTTGTATATTTTAACTTTCTCTTTATTTTGTGGTTCAGCTGTAACCCTAGACATTTATAGTGTTTCACAGTCGTAGTCATATAGTAACATATAATAACAGTAATGTCATTTAGTAACAGCAAGAGCGGGCGCACAAACACGAATAACATTCATAATAGTGTGCAACCGTTAGCATTTCAACATTGCACAACATTTCGTGCTTTCTGTGTAACATTTCAGAAGACGCCCCGTGTTGAACGTCTCCTACACAAACCTGTCTTCTTTTCCTGTGCCAACAGATAACCCGTCTGCCAACTGGCTGCACGCTCGCTCCTCCCGGAAGAAGAGGTGCCCGTACACCAAATACCAGACCCTGGAGCTCGAGAAGGAGTTCCTCTTCAACATGTACCTCACGCGGGACAGGCGGCACGAGGTCGCGCGGCAGCTGAACTTGACTGAGCGCCAGGTCAAAATCTGGTTCCAGAACCGCCGGATGAAAATGAAGAAAATGAACAAGGAGCAGCCCAAAGAATAGGGCCGGCAGACTTCAAGGAGAGGGAGACGAGGATCCAACCGCATGAATAATCCGCCGGTGTTCACTTGTGAACATGACGTCCCCACCCCACCCAGCTCCAGTAGTATGTGTACTCAGTGTTAATAATTGTTCAAAGTTTCTTTCAACATTCCTGCTTTTAAACAGGCCGGCCCGTAACATTGGTATTAGTCAGCGAGCTTGGAGGGCCACCTTTGTATCTCAAACCTTTTGCCTGTCCGCCTGTGAAGTAATCATTTTCATTTTAAGATTCGATGACTCCATCGCTATATTGAAGAAAGCTGCTCGCAATCTAGGAGAAGGAATTGTAGATCAGCGTGGCTAATTCAGAAAAACATTATTCTCACTCAAGTATTTCTGCAGAAGTAATAAAATCGTGCGCGCGCGCGCACACAAGTATGTCTTTACCAATTTATTGTCATTATTAAAAAAATATATATACTTTTAACTAACTTTATTATACTGATTTTACAGTATCCAGGAAAAAGAAATAAAATTTTAATGGTTATTCTTGTTTTGCAATATGCTATCCTCTGTGTTGCTCGGCAAAGCTAACAACGAGACATTTCAGTGTTAAGTTCGTGTGTCGTGTTAATAAGTTAATATACTGTAGGCTTATTTAATTTAGTTGGGCTACATATTATGAGCATTTTTTATAAATTGTTCTGATTCCGAGGAGACCATATTTATGCAAAGTTGTGGGAACCTTAACATATTTCCTTAAAATAAATAATTTTCTGTATTCGAATTGCCTTTTGGGAACCATTTAAAAATAAACGTTCTTGTTTTTATCCGAGAAAGGGTGAGTGGTTGTTACGTGTTCAGCACACTGTCACAAAGTAGATTTGATTGTTAATTCTAGACGCACCTCAACATTGAACATTGTAGTAGATTTAATTTTAATGCGAAAAAAGTTTTTTTTTTTAAAAAAAACATCAACAACGTTTAAAAATAGAAAATACCGATAAGCAGAAATCGAATAAACACGAGGTGGGATATAGGAACAGTTAATTTTCCTTTGGTTGAATGTGTCGCGGAAACAGGGAAGGGGACATCGCTGTTTGATGCAGCTTCGTTTTTTTTTTTCTTTCTTTTATCGAAGACACAAGACATATTGTAAAGGAGTAAATTGTTTACATTACGACTGTCATCACGGGCGTGTTAAATAATTCTTGAAGGCATATTCTATACGTGTGTAGGAATCCGGCATGTCGCACAGTGTTGAAAACACCACTCTGAACGATTCAAACGGAGCGCGACTAAGGGTACAGCAGTTTTTTTGTGTGCTAATTTATTGTTATTAAAGGAATAACCTCAAATCTTTCTATTGCTATGCGGTTTCTACTTTTGTGAGCGGCATGGGTGGGCGAGAATGTCAGGTTATACTTGAATGAACATTTTTGTCTCAATTTGCTTAATGTTTACATTTTCTTTTGGAAGCTGAAGAACATAGAGGTGGTATTTCGACTGGTGTCGTTTTGTTTTCATTCGATAGGTAACATAGATGGTGTTCTTGTTGTTGTTTTTTTATATATCTCTAAATGTATTTCCTATTTTTTGTTGGACAATGGCTAATCTGGTGCTGAGATTCTTTTACGGTGTTTGAGTCTGTCCTTAGTACGTCTGGAGTGTTACTGGAACCTGGGCGCCGTTCCCGCGTCCTCTTCCTGAGCTTAGCTCCTCTCTTCAGAAAGAAAGAGATCCAGAAACTGTCTATTTGAAAGTATGAACTTTGTTATTGTGGTGAATCCTTAACTCCTGTCGGTGGATAGTTCTCTCCGAGGAGAACAGCCGCATTTTTCCTTCTGTATTGTTGGTGTATCTCACGAAGTTGCAATGACACTGTAAATGCTGGATTCGTAATAAATCGTTTACATCTAACAACGTGTCGGTATTATTATTATTATTATTATTATTATTATTATGTTGCAATCGTAGAAGATATTGTGTTGCTGTCGCTGGTTGCTGATGTATTCCGACTTACTGCAATGGGAAGACACCACAACAAGAAACAAAATATGCTCTTTTTCTCAGATCTTAATATTATTATTTTTTTGCCATCGGTCTGCTACCGTGAAGAGCCCGGGCGGGGACGCGAGGGAAGCCGGAGCTCATCGGCCTTTTGCGGGCTGTCAGTTTTGTTTCGGCTTAATTAAGGGCATGTGTTTTCAAACGTGCATTCGTGCTTCCAAACATTTGTGTTGAATTTGAGAGCTGAATCTGTGATGATCACGAGATGTTCCTCCGAGACCGTTGGCGTCATTTAATATCTTTATACAATAATCCCGGACCAATCTGGTTCTTATTGACAATTACATTTCAGCTGCACAGCGTTCAGTCTCGTAGCATTTGACTCTTAAAAATGAATTTAATTATAATGTATAATTTATATAGATTCTTTAGTTTTATCAGTGTATTAGAAATATTTAGTATTATTTATGACATGAACACTAGGCCTACAGCATGTAATATTATAACATTCTCTTCTGTGATTTATGTATAATATATAGATTATTTTTTTAAACAACTGAAACTGCTAGATTTATCCAATTATGCCTATCATGAGCATTAGTTTTCTTTTACAATTATTCAGTAACGATGGTATGTGTGTCCATATGCGTACGCACATAAACCTCGCGTTATTCTTACGATGATCACAGATTGATTTCCAAACGGCGGCTAACGTTACAATTTTAACGGATAAGATGTGTGTGTGCCAGATCTTCTATTCACGTTTACGCACGTTCGTTTTTAATCCGCAATTAAACCTCGGAAGCCTCAGTACATCGCTTCGTCAAACTGCAGCTGCATTCCTCGCACATTGAAACATACCAAATAAAATGGAAGTTGTGTATTTTTTAAAAAGGAAAAGCCGTCCCTGCAGTGAGCTAACTGGTGTGGGTCTTTACGCATCACACAGGGAAGAATGCCTTGATCGCTTTTATAAACAAAGCGAAGAAATAATATATAGAGAAAGGGACACCTTTTCCACATCCTCCTCTTTACTCTTACAGTAATTAGGCATTTTTGGGGGTGCTTTCTGGGGGGTTGGGAGGGTGCAGGAAGCGGACCACCATACACGGGAGAAGCAGAAATTCAATGCGGAATGCCGCAATAAAAGAATATTGAGTGCAATAAAACTTTATAGGGTATAAATTTCTGAAGGTTAAGAACTAAACGGCTGTAAAGCAAACACGACGAGGGGAAAAGTTTCAAGACCTCCTAAATAACAGTGTTGGAGGTGTCGCGCCAGAGGCGAAGTGTCCCGCTTTCGGGACGGGGACACACCTCTGGCTTCGTTTGTCTCCAACATTTGTTGTTTACGGGGCGCTTTGCAGAGGCCGGGCTGGGTTGGGGGGGTTACCAGTGTTCCCAGATGCTGTGGAGAGTTTCCGAGCTCGGAAAGCTCTTTTTTCCCCACTCTTTGTTCAGTATCCGAGCTGTTCTTTGACTGCCAGGGACTGGGCCATAAAACGGCACACACATACACACACAAAAAGGTTCCGACGAGACGTCTGGGAGAGGGGATCGTAATCTGTTTACAGCCCTGCTGCCACCGCGCTCGGAATTCCATTTTACAGCAGAATGCCCGATTGTTTAGTCTCGAAATCGGAAACAATGGTGGATTTCAAAAGAACAGGATTTTGTGTGTGCGTTCCTTTCTCCCCCCTTATGGCCTATCTCTTTTGTCCCCCCCTTCCCCTGCTTTGTAATAAAAAAAATGTAAAATATCGTAAATATTTCCCTGGCCGATGATGTTTTTTTGCAATCACAGCAGCAGCAGCACCGTATTGCTATTAATGATCGTTAACTACATTGTAACCGCTCCAAAATGACCTATATCGTGAATTATTCTATCTGTTGGAAGAAATTGCACCAAACACACTCCTTATGAAATGCACACGTGAGTTCGAGACGCGACGTTCTCCCCCACCGTCAGTGCTTAGCTAAAACTGCCGAGCATTCCTGTGGATTATTATGGATTAGATGTGTTTTCTCGTACAGAAAACGAAAGGGATATTAAACGTTTTCCACATCTGTGCTGCTCGAAAGGGAAAACACTTCAGATGAGAAAATAACGATGGGTCTAGTTGGTTTTCAGTCTGGCTTCAGCGCGGCGATAAAACCACGTGTAGTTTTACATCTATACCACACGATGGCGATATTGCTCCACCAAACTCCTGAGGTCATTGTTTCATGTGGTACCGGAAGTCTTTTATGCCTACAGAAAAGCTACTTTCACAGCGAGGTAAACTTGATAGTCAGAGAAATCTCTAGCTCTCTTTAGGGGATTTGGAGGGAATGTCAACGGAGGTTTAATCCTTCGATTTCGTTTCGTCAAGTAAGCAACTAAAATTGTAGATTTTAACAGATCAATTAGTTTTATTAGTTTGTTTATATCATATATATATTGTTGGGGAGCTAATTAGCAGTATGGTGCATGGGAAAACGAGTTTATCGTATTTCTATATATATATTTTAATATACGTGTGTAAGGAATTCAAGTAAAAACCCGCATCTATAGAATAACGTTTTGCGTTTAAACAGGATGTTAAAAACGCAAAACATAATGCATTTTAGATGAAATGTTGCGGGCTTTTTAGCCCAGCATGTGTTCAACTACTTTCGTGCTTTAATTCGGTGTCGTGCTCCTAAAAGGATTAAAAACCCAGTAACTACATGTTGACCTACCGGTTTTGCTGAAACTGAAAAATAGCAGCTGAATAATCATTACATCCTACCTTGTCTTATACTTCTTCGAAGACACGGCTTAAATTGCAATTTGCGTTTTAGATTTCTCGCGGGCCTTTACTATGCCTAGGTACATACGTTTTCAGATAATTTAGGGGCTGGTTTCACCGTTCTTGATGAGCTGTGTGCATCTAGACCGGCGTAGATGTCTTATTTATTTTAACATTAGGCAGTCTATGAAACTGAATGATTTGCTTGTATGAGCAGCAATATGCTGTGCATACTTTTAAAGGCGATGCAGATAAAACACAGTGTCAGAAAGTAGAAGTAATATAATTGTACAATGTAATATTATAATGATGGGCTCGGTTCGAATGAATTGAATAAGCAATTAGTTTGTTGAAATTGCAAGTACTGGGCTGCGATTGTTGTAACCGTATATTGAAAGACTTTCTGTCTGATAGCGCTCTGCAGGACTGCGAAGTTGAAAGTGTAGCCTGTTCTTCACTGCGCAACTGTTTCTAATTCTTTCAACTGCTGCACTTCTGTGAAACACCGAGTCGAACCTTTTTATGTAAGAAATTAGACAACCATTTGCATTGTAATCAATTTTATTCACAACACATGGAGGAACAAAATGAAACGAAATTGTCTAGGAAAACATGTTGTTACAGAACATACACTAACACATTTAGCAAGTGCAGATCAAAGAGACAAATTTCATTTTTGTTTCGTATTAATAGTCAGACAAAAAAACTGGGAGATTTCGACACACAGAGTGAGACAGCAGCACTAGGACAGGACTGTTTTACTTAAACGAACACTCATTCAAATTCACGGATGAAGTTTTTTTACTTTTAGATTGTTAGCTTATGTATTACACAATCAGTAATGTCACGCACTTATTGAAGCCTTCTTAATATTCCGTGCTAATTGCCTTAGAAGCAAGAAATTTTCACAAGGACGAAAATGAACAATGCGGCGTACTGTGTCACTTTGCAGAAACATTAGGGTTCACAAACTCCCAGCATATTATTTAGATAAACTCGTGCGTGCTTCTGTGTTTTATTCGTATTAATAGTCCCGCTCATACACAAACACACGCAATTTGCGAGAATATTCCCTGTTATCTCATAGTTGTATGTACACTGGCACCCCTATGAATAATTTCGCTTCAAGTCGCTTCTGCTTTGTTGTGCCCATTCAGCACTATTATACTGAATACGAATCTCATCCTAATTATCGCCATATGTCTTTTCAAATTTAGAGGAAAAAACTGTAAAATGCTGACAACAAATAAACTGAACTCCCTCGTCAAATCCCGGATACTGGGTTTGCTTTGATTTGAAATGAAATCTGCGATATGTGCAAGTTTGAAATGTAGCTTTTCTCTGTTATGAATGAATCACCGTACTAAATAAAACGAGCATTATTCTCGTTAATAGGGGCTTAGGCAAAACTCAATTTTTACGGCCTCTTAAGGCGGAATATTAGCCAATCCATATTGGAAAAGTATTCGACCACGGGTCCTGTGTGCGAGCACCTGGGAACAATGTTAGTTAAAATATCGGGTTTTCTATAACAAAACACATAGCAATGATGCTTCGTATTGAAAACACAATAAAATGACAATTAAATACTTGAGGATTTCTGCATCAGTGGGGTAGCTCCAAGTGAAACCTTTATTTTATAGCGCTAGTCGTGGAACCTCATAAAATCTTAACAGCCTTTTCTATCCCCTCCTTCTCCGTCTACACCGTACACTCTACAGGCAACCTTGGCGTTTTATTACATTTTATAGTTTGTTAAACCGTTTACAGCCGCTTTGTCTATTACACAAGCAGCACTTTCCCTTTCCGAGGCCTTTAAATCTTTATCAATAACATATTTATAAAAATATGATCATTAAAATGTTAAATATTACTACCCCCGTCTGCCTCGCCTGTGCCGCAGCCGCCGGAGTTCGGCGCTTTTGACAAGTTGTTCTAGAACGCCAATTACGTTTATAGGACCCGTTAAAACTGATAGTAATTAAGTCGTGTACTTTCACAATTTGCCAATGCGACCCTGACATTTAGGGAGAGAAAAAAAAGAGAGCGAGGCGAATCCACCTCGTTAGAATTTCAAAATTAACGACGGAGTGCGTCTCTTTTCAGTTTGACTATCAGCGACTCCTTTAAAATCAGTCTTTTTTTTCGGGGGGGGGGAAGGGGGAGACGGCGCGTGCTCCAGATCTGATGCAAAGCGGCAGATATCTCATTAACTAAGCCGGTTGAATATATTAATGTGCAAATTCTCCCCTCCTCTCTCTCCCTCTCTCTCACACCCCCCCCCCAAGCCCTCCCTCTCTCCCCTCTCTTCCCCTCGCTGTCTCCGTCTCTCCCTCTCTCCACAACACAATCGCGCAGTGCAGTGTCCGTGTGGAAACGCCGAAGCCAATGGGATGAAGATCCGATAATAGATGCAAATTATCCTGAAAAGACACTGCAAAATATGAAACAACTCATTTGCGGCTGAGTAAATCACGGAAAACTGTTTATGAACTGGCAACCCTTACTGGAATTGTAATGCGGTAGAGCCGAGTGGTGGCGATTTTATGGAAGTCGACAATGATAGTGGCTTGAAAATTTAAAAGGAGTTCTTAAAAAAAAGGCATTCTTGGGATTCCCTGAGTGTTGGCGCCGCAATCCCGAGAAACGCTGATTTATTTATTTATTTTTTTGGGGGGTTATATGAGAAACTCCGGCTCCTAAACAACAACAACAACAACAACAACAACAACAACAAAAGACACAGCAACAGCGGCCAACAACGTACAAAAAAACATGAGCTCTTATTTTGTCAACTCTCTTTTCTCCAAATATAAAAGCGGCGATTCCTTACGTCCTAATTATTACGAGTGTGGTTTCACGCAGGAACTGGGGAACAGACCCACTGTAGTCTATGGACCCGGTACCGGTGGAACTTTCCAACATCCAACTCAGATTCAGGAGTTTTATCACCACGGCGCGTCCACGCTCTCCGCCACCCCTTACCAGCAGAGCCCGTGTGCCGTGACCTGTCACGGGGAGCCGGGGAACTTCTATGGCTACGACGCTTTGCAAAGGCAGACGCTCTTCGGGAGCCAGGAGGCTGACCTCGTGCAGTACAGCGACTGCAAGCTGGCGGCGAGCAGCATCGCGGACGACACGGAGAGCGCCGAGCAGAGCCCGTCTCCCACGCAACTCTTCCCCTGGATGAGACCTCAAGGTGAGACCGGAACAGGACTGGAGAGGCGGCGGCGCGGGTCGCAGGGAAGGGTAGCGTAACTATAAAGAGAGGGAGGGAGGTAGAGAGAGAGAGAAATTCTCAGCGACCATAAAGCTGGTATTTCCTGTGAGTGGGAATAGAGACAATAGCATGTTGTTTTCTTTACCGTTTTATGGTGTCCAAACTTGTGAATCACTTTATAGTTTAATGGCCCTAGCAGAAAGGGGCACTGTCTCCCCTCGGCTTCCTTCTCTCTCCATGTGGGGGATCACTAGCCTGCATCTGTGTCTGTTTGTATTGACAAAGTTTCTTCCTCTGATATGCCCTATCAGAGTGCAGAGTGTGTATTCCAGTTACTGTGTGTGTAACGTGATGTACGAACATATGCTATATATATATAACTATACACACGCGTTTTTGTATGTGGATTGTGCACTTGTGCAAGAGGTACGCTTGAGGTTCATCACAACTGGACCAGGAAAAGCGAATAAAATATTAGTGTGGCCGGACTGGTGGTCTCGTTGAAAGGCTGCCTCCAGGAAGGTGGTTTTCACAATGTGCCTGAATTCTGATGCTCGTCTTTTCTAAAACGTGTCGCCCGCTTCTCTTCCCAGTAGCTGCCGGACGGAGGCGAGGCCGGCAGACCTACAGCCGCTACCAGACGCTGGAGCTGGAGAAGGAGTTCCTCTTCAACCCGTACCTGACCCGCAAGCGGCGGATCGAGGTGTCGCACGCCCTGGGACTGACCGAGCGCCAGGTCAAGATCTGGTTTCAGAACCGGCGGATGAAGTGGAAAAAGGAGAACAACAAGGACAAATTCCCCAGCAGCAAATCGGAGCAGGAGGAAATAGAGAAACAGAAGAAGGAGAAGGAGAAAGCGGAGGGGGAGCAGACGGCCGAGGAAGACGGGGAGAAAGAGAAACAGATTTAGGCGAGCCCCAGAAATGGACGAGCGGAGGAAGACAGCTAAAGGCCACCGACTGAGGCGATACAGCGCGCCGCTTTCTCAGAGCAACACTGTAACCTTCTCGCGTTCCTTGTATAAAATGCTGTGGAATATATATATATAGGGAAACAAGAACTGGCGGAGGCGTTATTGTATCAAGTGTAAGATTCGTTTGATGAAGCGAAAACTGTTATCCCACGGAAAGAAATATTTCTACTTTTTACCAGATGTCGGAAAAAATATCGTAGTGTAACGAGAAACAAAATAGCTTTCTTATTTGTGGAAGACTTAAATGTGAAACCTTTTTATTGTTAGGATATCATCATTAACAATTACATTTGGCAGCTGTATAGTTTTTTTTTATTATGTTATATGGTGCACTTTTTTATCGTTCTCATTCATGGTATTCTAATAACGTAGCAAATAATGAATTCCCAACAACATGAAACTGCCTATTTATGCTGTAGGTTATTCTGTTTTTTTTTATGTTCTGTCCTTCGATTAGTCTGTTTTAATTAATAATATTTTGTTGTTCTTGTTTGGTTTTTTTTTTCAAGTTTGGGACTAAGCATGCGCACAGTGCATAATAGTAATTGAACAGACTGTAAGGTGATCTTTCGTTAACTGTGAACCAGAATGTATACTGTACTCGTGAATTAGTTTATGGAGGCCTGGTGACTCGCTTGATTGTTCTTCACTGCTCTGTTCTATTGTCAAAGCCTGGAGGCTGCGGAAGAGAAGGACACAATAAAGTTTACAAGCGAAATCCCGTGACGGCACAGCTGTCCTCCTGCTTCCTCTCTGTCGAGGTGATCCTCTGGTCGGGCCCCTGTCTTTCCACAGACACCCCACATAGCCCCGTCCCCACAGTTCCCCCACAAGACGAGAGGCAAACGGGGGCGCAAAAGCCTTCGTCTTCTATTCCCGGCCTGAGAAAAGCCCCCCACCCCTCGCTGACAGTAGAATAAGATGATCCAGACCTAAGCTCACTCCAATATGAGAGCAAATTTATTTGCGATTTAAGTTGCCTTTTTAAAAAAAAATCAATTTTAAGTAAAACAAAACCCCAACACGATATACGACTAGGTACCGATAGTTACTCGCGTCCGACTTTGTATTGGGCGACTGTGGCGGACGGAGCACTAAAATCTGAATGATTTGGTAAACCAGACCTGTGAAACCTTTTATTATGGTTGTGGCAGCAGTCGGGCAAAGACACCTCACAATCACAAAGAAAAGGAACAGGCGTTAATACCGGGATACTCGTGTATCAATGGCCCATAGGCCTATTAACGCATCACAGGCGGTGATATCATTACAGTTATTATGCACTCCGAGCTGTATTCGCGTTCAGCTGTACCCATAAGTTCTTCTAATGGAACATCTTCGGAACGGAATCACGTGTTCATTTAAAACTCTTTTATTGGGGGCCGGGGGGGTCTTTGGTGGAGGGAGGGGGGGGGGGGGTTTGTGCGTCAAACGTTCCTGGAGGTGGAAAAAAAAATCCGAGTTTCATCCTCATTGCTGGAAACCACGAGCTTTTGTGCGGCCGGTGTAAATGGATGCTCTGAGGCAGAAACTCTGCAACAGAGTCTAACTCATTAGCTGGAGCCCCGGACGAGCCGACAGACACACCGGCAGCCGGGAGAGAAGCGCTCGCCCAGATAGCAGGGACAGAGCGCCGTGTGTGGGGAGAGAGAGGGAGAGGGGGGGTATATTCGCAGGACGATGTTTCGAGGAGAAAATCGATGCTGCAATAAATAGGTTTCTCTTTATGTATGTGATGCCTCGCAAATGGTGGAGTACGTTCTTAAATCTGATTTTTCTTCCTCTCTGCACCTCCACCGACCCCAGCACACTCCAATCTCGCTCCCCGGGACAGAACGGATTACGGTCCAGGCTATAGTTTATCGATTTGTGTTTGCGAGCTCTTGCCTCTTGCACACGCGGATCTTTAGGTTACATAACGTAAATTATTTAACATTTTCTAATCTGAGCCGTACTTCAGATTTTCCACAGCGCCGAAGATCTGGGAAGCCCCCTTTCCATTGGACCACCGCGAGTCACGTGCCCCCTGTCACGTGAACCCTGAGGAAAAAGGGGTGCTTTTTGGTGTAAATCTGGACTTTAATTCCGTAATATATCACGGTACCTCGTAAAACCGACACTAAAACGTCCCGGCCTACAAATCACCCGGCCAAATTATGAGTTCATTGTATTATGCGAATGCTTTATTCTCCAAATACCAAGCTGCAAGTTCGGTGTTCCCAGCTGGGGTCTTCCCCGAGCAAACTTCTTGCGCTTTTGCGCCCAGTTCTCAGCGAACCGGCGGCTATGTCTCGGGCAACGGTGCCACTAGCTTCCCTTCCTCTATGCCGGGGCTGTACAGCAACGGAGGCAGCGTGCATCCCCCGAACCAGAGCGTGTATTCGGCCGGCTACGGCCTCAACACGGGCTCCTTCAACATGCACTGCTCGCCCTTCGATCAGAACCTGCCCATGGTCTGCGCCGGGGAGCCCTCCAAGCAGGCGTGCGGCGGCAAAGCAGAGCACGGAGACGCTGAGCAGCAGAACGAAGCCAACTTCCGGATCTATCCCTGGATGAGAAGCACAGGTATGTGATTGTTGGTGTCGGAGGGGGGGGGGAAGGCTATTCGTTGCATGGAACTAACAACAATGATGAAGCACTCCTCGCCAAGACAAAGCGACCTTTTAAATTGTGGTTTTAAAAACGCTATAATTGCGCAGTGTCGAGTCGCCTTTATGACGTTTTGCTAAAGCAGATCTTTTATTGCTATACGACCCCCCCCATAAAGCTATAATATTAGTCCTTTGCATATTCATTACAGAGAGTGTTGTGGAGAATGCACCGGATTCCTCAGCCTGACTTCGGCGGGTCTCTGTGCCTGAATTTCGAAACGGAGTAACGACAGATCTGCCTTCTGATGTGGATCTGGTTTTACCGACGCCGCATACTAAGGGTGCCCTCGTCTATTTAAAAAAAAAAAATCTATACGAAAAAAAAAATTCGTATGTTTGCGCTGTTCTTTTTTTCCCCCTCGTTCAAATTGCGGGATCTAGTAAAAGCTTGTAGGGTTATTTTTTTAGCCAGCACAGTTTTGCCTGTAAAAAAAAAAAAATGTTTTCTCGTTCGGTGGAGTTATATTGTTTAGAACGGTGAGCGAATCGCGAATGGCTTCTTCTGTTGCTGTTGACAAATGCTCTCCGATTACCGGGGGGGTGTGAAGGGTTTGCATGCCCTGTACACAGAAATTCTTTTTGATTTTCCAAGCGTTCGAGTCAAGCCGTAATATGTTCTTCCTCCACGCCTTTGATGTTCGGAGGGCTGCGGCCGCGGCCACCAGAAAGCCGTGGAGAAGTAACACGTATTTTCTTTCATGCTACACGTCAATATCATTAGCTAATCCACTCGGACTGTGTTGGCCTTTTTTTAAAAAAAATTAACCGATCGGTAGCAAATGCAATAACTGTAGTTCGGAAATGAGATGTTTTTGGTTTTGTATGTTTTTTGTCCATTTGCGTGTTCTGCAATCTCTGAATGCCCCCAGAGCCAGAAAGAACAGCAGCCGCGTGTCCCGGTGTATTTTAAATCTCGTGATTAATTAGGTCTGAAGATCTTCTATGACAGCAATCGGCTTTCACTGCAGTTTTGGCCCCAGCCCGCGGAAAGTTAGCAACAGTACATTGTCAACAAGAGCAACTTCTCTCTCTCGTTAGCCGCCGGGGTGGTGATATAGCAAGACTTAATAGTTTTAAAAGAGATACGTCTTCATTAGCTCGTCTTAGGACATTAATAAACACCTACTCATTGACACACACTTCCAGTGGGGCCCCACAAGTGCCTGTAATGATATTCTATATGAACATAAAATACAGACGATTTCTCTTCAGGTGTAAATATCTTCATTTTCCGTATTATTCCTAAGCAATAAAAAGTTTCACGGTTTTTTTTTTTTGCCATTTTGGATCCATCTCCCAGTCAAGAATGTGACCTACAACCCCTCCTTTTGAATCCAGTTGCACCTTCAAGCTTCGGTTAGCAAGTAGGCCCGCTATATGTTAATGAAAATAATTTCCCATCAGTGATGAACTCTTCATAATCGTTTAATCCAGTATACTGTATACATTTTAATGGAAGGGCGGTTCACAAAATGAAAGTTCAGTTAGTTTTTTTTTAATTATTGCGTTGCAATTAAATATTAGCAAAAGGTGTGTCGGGGCAGTATTGTTTCCTAGGGGCCTGTAGCTGAACTAGCTCTGCTTCGAATATTTGTAAAAAAAAATAAAATAACATCTGACGTCTGTGTGGAGTGTTCAGTTTGAATATATGTACATATTACTTACAGTTTAACATTTCGACATTGATAACAACCCAGGGGTTTTATGAAGCTTTCCTAAGAATAATAGTTCAAAGAAACAGATCTAAGAAACGTCTAGATTTTCATATTTGATTCCAGCTGGTCAGGGGTTTTGTCTCTGTTCCACAATTGCACACTTCTGATACAGTAACTCGTGCTGTTTATGCAAGTTATAGATCAACACGCTGCTGTTGTTAAGAGGCTCGCCTCGGAGACAGCGATAGTCAGTAAAATAGTCCAAAACATTAAACTGTGATGAGAATGCACAGCAGTCTTAACTCACTAAAATTTAGTGGCCTTTTCTTCTGCAGGGTTTTACAGCCTTCATTTCACACCGTCACACACACACACTGCTGGCTAACAGCTGTCTCCCCCAAATTCCCTTTTTTTTGTATCCAATTTTAGCGACTTCAAAGTAGAAACAAGGGATCTGCAAGCACGGCGTGTTGGGTCGAACTCACACCTGTGTTTTGAATTGTGCCGAATCAAAGTACATTTGGGAAAACCCATCTTTAATAGGGATTCTGGAATATATATATAAAAAAACAAGTCAATGTTATAGAACGAAAATACAAAATAAAATAAAAACCGTGCCGTTGTGCGGAACAACGAACATTTTTTGGAATGTCTCACCACCAGAGAAGAAGCAGCAATAGAAAAGGGCTTTAGTTTTGAGTGTTTGTTACAGCAGAGAAAGACGGAAGTACGTAGACCCCCAGCTCTGGCAGTGCACAGAGGTTACTGTTTAACCTTCCCTCCGTCACGTGTGAAGTGAGGAATATTATCTTCCATATCTACCTCGAAATCTGTAATTGCTGCCTCGAACAAACGATTGAACTTGTTGACGCAGGAAGATTTTTTTTGGTAGCTCCTCTAACACGTTCTGACAACGTTAGAGTCGCTGCTTTTTACTGGGGGGTCCGAGTCGTTAAAGCCGTCTCGCGGAGCAGTTCCCGATGACCTCAGCGTGGGCTGCGCGGGGCTTCTTGAAAGCAGGAGAAAATACAGGAAAACAAAACTAATTCCCCTTTACAGGTACAGAGATGTGGCACTGACAATTATATTACTACTACAGACGGGATATTTTATCTCAAACATTTCAGTTCTGTACTTGTCCTTGGGTGTATTTTACGCATCTAAAAACTCTTAAAATAATCCCCAGGAATATAAAAGAGTCTATATAACCTGAGTTACGACCCCCAGCTATGTGCACGCTGCACACGTAAAGGGGATGTAAAAATCAGACCAACTGCAGCGTGCTGGGTTTTGGATTATCTTCTAGTGATTGAACCACGCGTTAATGCCTTACAATGCTTCACAATAATAATAATAACGGTGTTAAAAGTTGATACTAAGGCAAATTGGTGAGTAAAGTTTGTTCTGTGTGGTTTTGCTGTGACTGTCTTTGAAACGAATGCCCGATATAAACAGAGAGAGTGACTAAACTTCCAAGAATTAAATATAAACATAATATATATATAATATAGTTATATATAACAAAGTGCAAACATGGTCATTTTTTTATTCCGTGCAATTTCTTCCATTGCGGTTTTTTTAAAGATTATTCGACATGATATGTATAATATGTAGGCGACGATAATAATAATATTATTATTAATAATAATAATAATAAAAATAAAATAATTATAATAATATAAAGCCGTTGTGAAAGTTGTAATATTACACGATCGTGAATGAATAGTGTGGAACTGCCGGTGGGTTAGTTCATATTTACTTGTTGTCGGTGCAGTATTGGCTGTCGCAGGTGTTATTCTAGCTGGGTTAGTGAGGCAGGCTGGCGTTCATGTGCTGATCAATAAGTCCCCGATGTTTCTCACACGCAGGCACCGACAGGAAGAGGGGCCGGCAGACCTACACCCGCTACCAGACGCTGGAGCTGGAGAAGGAGTTCCACTTCAACAGGTATCTGACACGGCGGCGGCGCATCGAGATCGCGCACGCCCTCTGCCTGACCGAGCGGCAGATCAAGATCTGGTTCCAGAACCGCCGCATGAAGTACAAGAAGGAGAACAAGAGTTCGGGCCAGAGCCCGTCCGCCGAGGACAAGCCCGGGGGAGAGGAGGAGGAGGAGGAAGAGGAGTAATGAGCAGCTCCGCCGCACCGACCCAGAACTCCGACAAAAATCAAACAAAATACCTACAAAATAAGACTGAGCATAGAGTGAATAGGGGGGAATCGCGGCGTCCCCTTTTTGCAAAACACTGATTAATAAAAACACAAAACAAGAATGAAACAAACAATACTACCTACTACACGTAATGTTTTGTACATTTAGAGACTGATGTGACACCTACCTATGAAATGTAATTTGAACTCTTCAGTGAGCGTAATCGTGGAAAATAAAATCGGCATTTTTATGTTGTTGTTGTGGCTGTTGTTGTTGCTGTTGTTGTTGGTGTTGTGTTAGGATGTAAACGTCGCCATTGATAAGTGTCGTGCCTATACAAGCAGCCTGACCCCCGAGTCGTTGTCGTTGTGTCGTGTCGGATTAGCACTGTTTCACCAGACAGAGAAAAGCGAAGCTTTTTTAAAAATGCGGTAAAGGGATAGGGTTGCCCCGGTATATCCGATATAAAAGGAAGTGTACATACATGACACATTCACCTTTTGTGTATTTGTGTATATATATGATTCTTTTTTTTTCTTCTGTAAGCGCTTTCTTTGTCTTTTTTTTTCATTCAAGAAAAGCCTGTTTTTGCGTGTGTACATTATAAATCCTGTACAGTGGACCACAAGATGTACTTATTGATATTTTTGTCTGTATGTTGTGGAGGAATAAAAAGTTGTGTAAAAAACGCAAACAACTGGTATTTTTTTTTTATTGGTGCAATTCTTACTTTCCTGCCTCAAATGCCCGCTTAACATAGCGTCGTATTAATACGTCAAAGAGCCTTGAAAAAAACACTATATAAAACCTGCTGTGGATATAAGCACCTAAAAATGACTTTCCACCTCTCTGCGCATCGCGTTCCTTTAACAAATCAATTTAAAAAACTTCATATACGTGTACTGTATACATACGTATATAGATCATAGACATATGTAATATATGTCCAACCATACATAAAGCAAGCCAACAAGAAATATTCCCCACAATTCTATTTAGAAATTGCTACGCATATAATACAGAGGCCTGTGTGTGTACTTAATTTATATACATAAATACACATGCTGTTACTTCGGTTTATAGAAATATTTACAGATATTCGTTCGAAAATATTTCTTTGTTTTTCTTGTGCATGTCCCAGCACGAATATTGACCTTTTTCTGTGAAGGCGCTGATAGAAGTCCCGGAGCCGGGCGCTCTGTTTTAGGCGGGGTTTGTTCTCCGCACCGGGTCTCCAAGTTGTTTTTTTATTGTGGGCCGTAATTCTTTACAGCATCAATAAAACCCGGAAATGACTCCGAAAAAAAAACTAAATAAAAGAGGCACGGGGGGGAAAAAAAAGACTTTGCAAGGAGGGTAACAACTGAGCAATTGTGAGTTTTTAACAATGAGCTTAAAATACCGGTTTCACTTTCGGGCGGATTGTGAAATCTTCCCCTTCTAGTTCGTATTTTCGGAAATGTAGAAAGTTAAAATTATAGGGCAAACGAAACCCGAAAGCGTGCCCACAAACGAGTGATTTTACGCAAAATGAAGAAACACGATTTTCTTTATTTAGACTTTTAGTTTCGTTTGCAACAGCATCATCACCGTAGCACAAGGCTGCGGGTAACGCTTTCGCCTAATCCACATTCCAAACCTGCATATTCGATCCATTTTTGATTCTAGCAAATAACCTACAGCATTTCAATAAACGAACACACATTTTATGCTATTGAATTAACGCCTACGAATAATTGTTGAATTTGTTTGATAGAAAATATTCTTTCAGTAATGTCAGAGAGCCGGAAAATACAGGCCTACTTTAAGATAAAGGTAAAACAGCGTAGAATCTGTTGGTAATACTATTATTTGTTTTTGTTTGTTTTAAAACGCCGTTTCAACAAAAACTGCGTCGTTCTTTACATTTTTGAACATATACGAACGAAGCAGAACAAGCTTGCGCATTTATGGGGTAGTCCGTTCTCTCGGTTTCCTCGTCCCCCAGAATAAAACGTAAAAAAATATTTCCTCCGTGGTTAAATGAGAGAAACTGAACAGAATATTTTTTTTTTGTATTTTTGGCCGTGCAACCGCTCCTTGTAGAAGCAGCCGCCCGGCGACGTTTTTATACAAATCCGAAATTGCGAATCCACAATCCACTTTAACTGTTAACGTGCTTAATATGAATATCGGTATGTTGTACTCGTACGGATTTTTGTTTTCAATGGAATTATTTTCCCCCCTTTTAAATAAAACTGAAACACGGTCAGCGTGTTTAAATGGCCTTTATCACGAGTGGAGCCAATAATAATATTTTCACAGCTTGATGTGATACCCCTGCTCCTTGTTTTTAGCCAGTATATATATATATGTAAAGTCTGTGTCTGGCATAAAATATAGGAAATGAGTGATTAAGTAATCTAACAGAATCGGAGGTGTGTTAAACGTTTTTTTTTTATAATTTGGCTAGCAACATAGCTGGTACGTAACTGTTTCGTTCAGAAAAACACTAAGACTTTGTATAATTTAGACAAATGCAAATCCAAACACCCCCCTTGCTCTTTATTTTTATATTGCGGGCATTATCAGCTACATGAAAGCAAACCCTCCTCGCTCTCGGAGCGTGTTTCCCAGTGATCAGACCCATTAAGATTATTAAACCATATTAGCGATATTAATACATTCTTCGAGATCCTTCTGGTTTTGCAGGGGGGGAGAAAATGGCGACGGAGGAAAGACTGCTGCTAACGCACTCATGAAGAAATGCAATAAATTCCTTGTTGTTTTATGAAAATTTACAACTTTGTGATAGAACTTTATGACTGGCTGTGTCCTGGGATTGGCCGAGAACAGTCATGTGGATCTTCAGTCGTGAACATGAACTTTTTATGATTTCCCAAGTGGATATAATGCAGCATTCTTTTGGCTACCGCACCTTGTGTAGCAACACTGTCTTCCTTAAAGGTTCTTGGCTCTTTTTCATTGATATAAATAATATTAAAAAAATGAACTTTGATGAGTTCCTTAGCGCCTGCTGGAGACCGAGCGGACTCCCAGCGCTTTCTCCTGCACTGCTATGCTCATGTGGCCGAGTTTAACTGGGATTTCCGCTGCAATGGAGGCTGTGTGTGAAGTCTGGGCACGGCGGAGAGCTCCTCTCGTTTTTCCTAAAGGCATCCCGCTCGCTTTTCCGCGTGTAAATGTCAGGGGTGGAAGCCCGCAGACACGGCCGCTCTCGCGTCGCCGCCTCGCCGCTAATGACCGTACAGGTTGGAGCAACAGTAATGTCCGAGCAGAGGCAAAAAAAAAAAAAACAGCATCTCCCTGCGCCCGCTCTCAGACGGAGAGAAGGATGGTCAGCAAAGGTAAGGCTTGGTTTCATTCATTATTTTGCTGCAAATGACAGAGCAGTGCAATATATCACAGCGTGCTGTAAATGTCGGGGATGCAGAAAGGCCGGTTGTTTAGTTGTGTATCTGTTGAATGTGCGGGCTAGGTCACTCGTCATTCTCGCTTTGTTTTTAGGCTGCAGAGTTTAGGTGAGATGAAAGTGACTGGGCAGGCTATTGATCGCTGGAACTCGGTGGTGGTGGTGGTGGTGGATGCGGCGGGGTGCCTGTGGCGAGGCGAGGGCGGTTTGCGAGCTGGGTAGAGGCTTCGCTGTGTGGTGGGGCTGCACTGTTGCCAATTGGATCGCGCTGAGCTCTCTTGGGTCACCTCTTACGTGGGGCGCCGTGTGAGGGGCCACGGCGCTATGCGACATTCCTGCACTCACCGTGCCGCCGCCTGGGTTGGCCAGCACCACGGAGCAGACACCGCTCCGCATCGGAGCGATTAGGAACTGTTTTTAAAAGGAGGGTGAGGAAGCAGGAATGTTTATAGAAACGTGACTCGGAAAGACTAATACCAGCGAAATTCCCTCCCCATACACACCAATGCATCCCTTAGTATGATGTATTGCTTAGGATCAAACCAGTAATCCGTTATCTTCATATTTGAAACGCATCCAGGAACCTAACTTTGAAAGAAGGTGATCCCTCACTCTCTCTCTCTCTCCCCCTCGGCTCTCGGTTTCTCTTCCGCCTTTTCTCCAGCAAAATCCATCCGGTTGTGTTGGGACACAGCTGCAACGTCTCGTACTCGGCTCTGTCTCTCTCGGAGACTCTCTGTTACAAAGCGAGGCGCTGCTCCGAGCCGTCTCACCTGGCGATCGTGTGTAATAATAATAATAATAATAATAATAATAATAATAATAATAATAGACGTTTCTGAT